AAACTATCGAAGCCCAGGATGTTTGTTACCCAACAGGATCAAGTCTAATTTTTTTTTCATGAATATGATTTCCATGTGAGTTTCATTTGCTTTCTATGTCACTTTCAAAATAATTCAAAGCATACTTGTCACTGACTACACTGGTCAAACAGGTAATTTCGGTTACATTTACTCACCTTATGTTTAGGTTGATACGTAACGAAATTGGAAACCACCCATGAAGCCTTATAAAAAAAGCCCTTCGATACTTCTCTATAAGTATTCGATTGTAATTCACGGGAACATATTACAAGCAATTGATTATCTCTCTTGATAATTAACGAAGTAACCTTTGCCCGGGGTTTATCTGCTTTTGTGTCGAACATTTATTTGTTTAACATCACAAATCCAAATTTTCGTTAATTTGCTTCTTATCTTATCTTTGGCACACTGCACTCACGAACTCCTGGAGGTTCTGAATAATACCAACTCAGGCTGATGATTTCGAACATCTGGCACATGACTTCACTTTTCATCCCAAAAGTGAAAAAGCCTTACCTCCATCCGAAGGTTCCTGACGGTTACAATTCAATTGGGATAAACGATCAGACTGTTTGAAAAGACGTTTTGTATTCAGTCCGGGTTTCAAGGCGATGTGACAGCTACTTTTTGACGCATGGCTACTTTATCGGCAGAGTGGTGCGAGATTCAAGGTGCCACGTCGGATCTCATTTAATGTCAATCCCGCTTCAAATTCAAACTCTAGGGTTACATATAAAAGGGGAGTGAAAGGGTTTTATTAGTTTACGCTTTCAAACGTAAAATTCCCAAATTCTCTCTGCAAATTTCCGATTGTTCTTCAAAGCTTCAACAAACCCTCATCATGGCCAATTCTGTACTGAAGATGTTACTTCACAACCGATAATGAAGATTCAAGGCACGAACTATCAAGTCGAAGAGGATGTTTCTCTTTATCCAGATGAATTGAAGATGATTGTAGTCGCATTGAAAAGCTCTGTTCTTTCGACTGCCATGTTCAATTCATTTGCTGTTCCACTTTCATGGCTTTCACAAGCAGGATCCACTGCTACTTACAGCAATGCAATGGATATCATCACTTTCCAACTGGTGAATGAAAAGAAGATCCGATTGTCCAAGAAGATTTTTTGTCAGATTCTTGATATCCCTAATTCTCCAATATATACTGATCTTTCTTCTGCTCAAGGCATCCACATGTTTAATGAGATGGGTCATCAACCCCCACTCACCAAGATCAATGATTTCAAGAAGTTTGGACTTCCAACTGTATGGAATTTTCTATTCGGAATTTTTCTACGCTGCTTGACTGGTCGCAGTGTTGGATTGGATAAAGGTCGAATGGAGGTTTATGCGATGGTAGCTGTTGTATACTATGATATCTCAGTGGATTACTCTACACAACCGTGGAAGGAATTTCAGAAGAGTGTTGAAAACACGAATGTTGTCCAAGGAATTTCGTGTGCAAGGTATTGGAGTTTGATTCTTCGCTACTTTTATGCCAAAGAAGGAATTGAGGTGCCTGCTGGTGAGGAGACAACTGAATTCATGAAGTATCAATTTCCGAAGGAGGTTCCTGATGATGCTGAAATCTTTACGCATATTGCAAGGATTTCAGATGCAATGTTACAGCGTGTTGATCCAACAAACTTAGTTATTATGGAGTATTTAGAAACAATCCATCCTGATGATGGGTCTGGGAAGTTGTTGCCAAAAGAAACAGCTGGTCCTTCGAAGAAGTCACGCAAATCAAAGAAGGATGCAACAATTACTCCTGAGAAACCTGTTCAGGAGCCAAAGAAAATGAAATCACCAAAGAAACAGACTAAGCCAGAAACACAAGTTTCGACTATTTTGGTTGAGCCAGTAGAGCCTGTTCCTGATGACCAAGCAAAGGAAACCATCCCATCAAAATCAGGTATTTTTCGAAGAATTAAAAAGAATTCTCGTGGATCACGAAAGCTTTCAGATGGTTCGTTTAAGTCTTATTCTACTATGGTTCGTAAACCATATCTGAATCACCAATGAATTCTTATTCGTGAGGTTCTAGCTCTTGTTTCTCCTTCCTCAAAGAAACGAAGAGCTGAAGATGTGGCTTCACGTATTTCAAAGAAGAAGTCAAAGAAAAGAAAGTTGGTTCTTCAAGAGGAATTATCCGAAGGGGAGAATGTTCCTGAAACACCTGAAGCTACTATTCTTAAATCAACATCTACTCCTGAGAAGACTAAGGTCACACCACCCGAAGTTTCGGTAACTGAATCAGTTACTGAGGAGGTTCGAACTTCAGACATCTATACACACGTATCTGATACGGTTTTAATTGTCAACATGGGTGAAGGAGAATCCAATAAAGAAATTTCTGTTACAACTCAAGGTATTCCTGCACCTTCTGATACTTTTTTCCTTACCTCCGTTTATTGTTCCTGTTTTGAACACTACCAATTCACCCACTTTTGAAACAATTCTCACTCAACCAATCACTACTTTGTTCTCATCACAAACCACTGATCCACTTCAATCTACTGAGGACACTGATATTGAAGAAGGGGGATTTGGAGGAACGTTTGACGAGATGGAATTTGATGAAGAAGAAGAAACTTTCCCAGATAATATGCTAATGACGATGAAGCAGTTCAAGATTCTGAATAAAAAGATGAATTCGATCATTCAGTCTCAAGCTGACATGGGTGGAAGTCAACATTTTTCAAGTTTGGAACTTGATGTTATGCTCAAAGCATTCGAAGCCAGGATGGTTAGTAAAGTTTCTTGAATGATTCAAGATTCTGAATCTAGAATTTTGGAGAAGGTGGACCAAAATGATAAGTGTAATGAATTACGAGTGAAATCTCAATCTTCGAATTTTGTGGGTGAAGTTCAATATTTACGAAGGATGGCTAAAGAACGACATGTCTTGTTTATTAAAGATGTGAAACAAGTACGCGAAGATGTCAACTTTAAGCTTCAAGAACTTCGTGAAGATATGCTCAAAGAGATTGCTAGTGCTCAGCATGACTATGCATCTCTCAATCAAAAGGTGGATATTATTTGTGATGCTGTCACAAAGTATGTTAAAATGTATGAAAGTTTGAGTCCTCAAGTAACTCAACTTTCTACGGATAACAGCCAAAGTTTTGTGGAGCTAAGTACTTTGTTAAAGGAGTTAAAAGACTTATCTGGCAAGCCTGTTTCCTCGTCGATTATTACCCCAAAATTCTTATCTCAAAAGTTTTCTCAATTCGAAGCTGTTCTTCATAAACAGTTGGCTCCATTGTCCAAGTTTTCAAGTCTTCTACCAACAGATGCCCCACCTGTTGTCACAGGGGTGCAAGGGGGAGAAAAGAAGGTTGGTAATGCGAAAGTTGGTGAGGTTTCGCATGCAGCTGTTAAGACTGTTGGGAAAATTTTTCATACGAAGATTCCATCATCAAAGCCAATAGTCTCAACTGCTGGGCATGTTACTTCAACAGTTGTTACCACGATGCCAATTTCCACGCTGCCAATTCTAAGGCTAATTTCTAAAGGAATTGTGATTGGTTCTTCAGCTGAAGGTGGTATTAGTTCGAAGCCATAAGAAGTTGTTGATAGCTCTTCGATCAAAGATAAAGGGAAAACAATTTTGGTCGAAAAGTCGAAAGAAGAGAAGAAAGCTGAAACTGAAGCTGAGTTGGAGAAGTTAAGAGTGGTTCAAAGTATTTTGAGTCTTCGTGCAAATGATCCACCTGGAATGAACAAGGGTGATCCTGCGAAGCATTACAACTACGAAACAATCGAAGCAAGGTTGCATATAATCATATGTATGCTTTTGAGAAGAAGCCGAAGCAAAGCTATGCTGTCGTTAATTCTGATATGAAACAACTGGATTTTCTGGTGAATGAAATGATGTTCATCATGGCTCAGTACAAGATTGCTGAGAAATTTGATAATGATGATGATTACACATATATGAAGCTCAAGTTTCATGCTGTTCTTGGGAAACTTCCAGAGGAAATACGGTCACTTGTGAAAATAAAGAAGGTGATCAACATTAAGAAGGATGTTCTGTTCGAGAACATGATGCAGAACCTTCGTTTTTATGTTGCAAGGGCGAATGGTCAGGAATGTGATTTCTCTATAGCTGATTTTCCATTAATGAACTTGTATGATCTTATGCAAGTTGCATTACTTTTGAAAGATAAAGATGCTTCGTATCTTTGTGAAACTGATCCAGAAGATTTTCGTCTTGGTCTTGCCCACATCAAAGTATTCATAGATAACTACTATGACTGTTTGGCCCTAACTGATGTGGAGTTGGCAACTGCGAAGGGATTGGAAGTGAAAGTACCCATGGAACCAACGAAGACTCAACCTGAGTTAAAGAAGTATGCCGATGGGGAGATTTTCTTGAAGCCATTCGGTTTGGTCTTCGCAGGGAAGGATAAAAATGGGAAGGCCAAGAGATTCTTATTCCAGGCATGCGAAGTAGAGAGATATTCGACGTCCCAGTATACGAACTTTATTGTTCGTATGAACAGCTGCAAGAAGAATAACGAAGGGGACAAGAAAGAGTTGAAGAGGATTATTTCCTGGTACTCAGAAATCCGAAGGGTGATGCTGTATGCTATACAGATTCTTTTGAACTGAAGAAGGTCGGCATTATTACAAAGGGGGAGAATGTAAGGGTCGAAGACCTGTTGTAATATGTCGAAGACTTAATGTTATTTTACAAGACATATTTGTAACGAAGCTTAGATGTTTAGTCCTTGTAATTTTGTGTGCGCTTTCATGTTTCCTATAAATAGGGACATTACTTAGAGTTAGATAAGAGTCTTTGTATGAACTTGTCTATTTTCTCTCTGTAACATTTGAAAGCATAATAGAGCTGAAACCAGATCATATTTACATCGTGTGTTCAAACTACATTCGTTTAACTCTGATTTGATTCATACTTGATTCTACACTTCATCAATGTTAACGTTCCTAAAGTGCCACCTCGAACAGCTGATCAGATGGCCGAGGTTATTGCTAATCTGGATTCTTCTGCAAGGATTCCTCCCCGAGCAGATGCTACTCCAGCCATTACGCCATCTGAGAGTGATCTTCATGAGACACCAGCCTCCCAGCCACCACTTAAAATGAGAAGATCCAATCCGAGGCCGGGAGTGCTTATCAGGGAACAAGCTCAGGATATTCAATAGTCCGCTACAGCCGACACTCCAACCAAACCAACTCACTCTGACAGCCAAACAGTGCATGAGGAGCCCAAAACTGCTCGCTCACTTTTTGAAATCGGGAGTTCTTCAGCTCCTGGTGTCTCATCAACTCCCCAACATGCGCATGATGTTGCCTCGGAGAGGCTTGACAGGTTTTTAGCTCAACAAGATTCTGACCCTGCACCCCGAGGCAAAGGAGTATATATAGGTGCAGGGAGTTCCGGGGGAGTTGATCCATTAATTTCCGAGCTTCGTGCAGAGATTGGAGTCTTAAATCAGAAGATTATCGAGAAAGATATTTTGATAGGAACTCTGGACGTTAGAGTTTCTGATCTTGAAAAAGAAAATCTTGAAAAATCTGCACAAATTTCAGTTCTGCAACTCAATTTTGGCGCTCTATCAGCTGGATACTTTGATTTAAAGAACAAGCTGATTAGTGAATTTGGAGACAAATTCAAAACATCCAGCGGAGAGACCAGTGCAGTCGAGACTTCTCCCAGTGCCCCTGCCCAATCATCCCAACAAGATCCACTTGATGATCCTCCACCTGTGAGAACCACTCATATTGTTGACCGCTTTGAAGTTGAACCTGCTCAAGCTAATCCCAGAGTTACTTTGAAGCTAGTCCAGAGACGAGTCTCTAGTCAAAAGAAAGGGAAATGGCTCTTCATGAAGAATTCTGACAAGAATGTTCGTGGAAACCAGCCTCAATTGACTGTGACTGATCTTCAAAAGAAGCGGTTTGGAAATAAATATGGTGACCGGTCAGGAATACTTATGTGGGGATTTCATGATAAACTAAATATTTGGGTGGTTAAAAGGAAGAGCGGAAACACGGAACACTATAAGCACAAGAATGATTTTAGCTCTTGGACAAGAGTGGATCTTACTGAACTTTCCAAAGCTCCTTCTACAATCCATCAAATGATCCTCGAGGGAGTGACTTCAAACTCTACTTAGAGAATCAAGTAAAGAGGAAGTTTGATGGAATGAAGACAACGGAATCCTTTGTGAAGAAAGCTAGAGATGTTCTTGACCCAAAAACCAACTAGGCCATGAAAACTATGATGTGGCCTCCTACAAAACAAATGAAAGAAATTCCCATTCTTCAACATTTCCGAGATGGATCTCTTCACGATATGGAGTATTGGGTATTTGACGAGGCCACAGCCACTGTTGTAATCAAATTCCCAACTGGTGTCTTTCGTGTTATTGAGGCAAAGGATCTACTAAAGTTTGGTGAACGTGAAATTCACACTTTGGCTCAACATCAAATCGTGGTGAAGAATGATATTCTCGAGTCCGCCGCTAAAGAGTTTACGAGTATGATCGTCGAGATTATAAACAAGAAGATGTGGTCGGGGGCTATGGAAGGATCCGACGTGCTGATCATTAAGAAAGAATGAGTTCATGCTAGCCTCAAACCAAGGGGGAGACTGTTAGGTCATATTTTGTTGGTTTGAGCTAGGCATTCTTTTGTATAGGCTGTGTTAGTATTTGTTCATGTATTTGTAAGGGTTTACGGTTGGGTGGTGTTTTCGGTTGGGTGTGTTTATGGCTGTAAACCCGTTTGCGGCTGTAAACACGTTTACGGCTGTAAACGTGTTTGCAACCACTGTTCCATATATATAGTGTCAGTAGGTGTCAGAGTACGGTAGCCGTTTATAGTCGTATGTGTGTGTTTTGAGTCCATTGTACCTGACGTTTGCAGCCAATATAAACATGTGCAATTTGGATCATTCTTGCTTCTACTCCTTCTGGTTTTATCATTTTTGCTTGCTCTTTGTATTGATCAATAGCTGGTTCTTAGTTTTTAGGGACTTACAAAAACTGAAAACTGTAAGCACGAAGCTTAGTGAGTTCCCCCAAGCTACCACATACCATACACATAATCACATACTGGGCCTAGCCCACTGCATCGGGCCCCACCCAGCATCAGACGAATCCGGCATCGGGCCCCGCCCGACATCGGACCAGAGTCCGGTATACATATCATATCAACAAGCATAACATGAACATAAACATAAACATAACATGAAAGCTAACATTCATCGGGCTTGCCCCGACATCTGACCAAAGTCCGAAACACATAATCAGACACATGCAAGAATCTCAAAGACATCAAGCATACTAACTTCCTCGGGCTTGCCCCGACATCAGACCGAAGTCCGGAACATAAAATCTACCTCGGGTTAACCCCGACACATACTGTCACACATAAACGTGCCAGCCTTGGTGCCTTAGACCCGTTCCTATAGGAGAAGACTCACCTCTCAAAATGGATGCTGAACTCGTGTGTAAGGAATCTCTGCTGGCTGCTCCCACGACTCCCCGACTAACTCTATACAATAAGACTTAGTCAGAAAACTGAGAATCCCACTAAGGGTAAAATGACCATTTTACCCCTGCTCTAACTTTGGACCATTTTCAAGGCCCAATTCCAACTAATCCTTATAAGTCCACTCATGGCCCACTAATGGCCCAATTTTCTAAATTGCGCCCAACTTCACAAATGGGCCTTCCCTAAGCCCAATCATGTCCTTGGTCCCAAATCTGACTTCTGATGGACCACTAAGGCCCAATAACTGATAAGTCCAATAGTTGGCCCAAACAAAGGCCCAAAAGGTAAAAGCCCAATACTGTTGAGTACGCGGGGTGTACTCCTCTGTACGCATGGCGTACCTGCTGCATGGCTTGTACGCTGCACGTACTGGCTGGTACGTCCAGCATACTACCTTGTTAAGCTAGTTTTCCCATTAAGCACTTAATACTCAACTCCAGAGGCTATAACTACAGATCCAAGTCCTTTTTAACGTCCTAATCCATAAATTCGATAACTTGGTGGCTTGCAACCCACCAAATGAGCCCAAACATAGAAAAATAGCAACTAACTCCATGGAAATGGCTAGATCTCATGCATGGTTCCATAAAAGCCTCAAAGATTGAAACTTTACTGCTAAAGGAGTGCTTTGAGCTCCAAGGGTTGTAACCATAAGCTAAAAAACGAAGTTGCATGATAAAGATCCAACCTTTGGACCTAAAAAGGTCCAAAACTCCATAATCCTATATCTAAGCTTCTAATAGGAAAGTTAGGAGCTTTATACCTCCTTTGAGTGCCAAAAGATGAAATAGTCTCAGATCCTTGAGCTCAAGATACTCAAGTTCTTCTTCTCCAACTGCTCTTCACTTCTTCCAAGCTTTTCTTCACCAAAAACAAGCTCAAGAGGTCAAACACACACAACAATGGAGTATGAGGCGTATTAGGGTTTTCTGAGGGTGAGGGGCTGGTAAGGAGGCCAGGGGGTGGCTATAGTGGGGTATTTATATGTCTTAAACCCTAAAAATTAGAGTTTTGGTATCTGCTCACGTATGTTGCGCGTACTCCTGGTACGCTGCGCGTACGTGCGCGCCCCCCGAATCCAATGCACACCTCTACGCCCCGCGTACACCAAGGCTACACCCAGCGTACGTCTTATGGGCGACCCAAATCTTTTAGCCCATTTGCTTAGTCCAATCCAATAGTCCTTTTTATCTGTATTTGGCCCATCAATAATTTAAGAAATAATTAATAAATAATACCTCAAAAGACGGTCGTTACATGTGCTCGATGCCGGGCGGGGCTCGATGCCGAATAGGGTTCGATGCGGGGAGGGGCCCGATGCCGAATAGGGTTAGATATCAGGAAAGCCGATGCTGATCTTGACTCGATGTAGCAGGGGTGGGGCCCAAGATATGTTTATGTGAGATGTGTATGGTATGTGGTAGTTGGGGAGACTCACTAAGCGTCGTGCTTACAGTTTTCAGTTTTGGTTTCAGGTACTTCCGGTAGAAAGGGGAAGGGCTCGGGATGACTGCATTGCACACACCATTATGTTTATAGCCTGGGATATTTACTCTGATATTTTGACAGATGTTTTGATATGATATACTATTACTTATGTTTTGATGTGATGGTTTTGATAACTATGGTTTTATTTATTAATTAAAAATGAATTTTTTGGTCATGATTTTTCGGATGTTTCAAGTTGGTATCGGAGCTTTGGTTTGAGGGATTCAGGCACACTCTCGGGTGTGTCTGAACTCAAACTAAGGATTTAGTATGAAAATTTTCAAAAGAAAATCATTTTTACAAAAAGAATTTTGAAAAGAGAAAAGAACTTTGAAAAGAGAAAAAGGGTGTGGTGCATGCAATCAGCCGAGCTCAAGTAAGTACTCCCAAATTACCCATACAAGTTTATGTTATGATATGTTTATGAGAACTGTATGCTAGATTAGGACTAAGAATCTAGGAAGGATGCCTTATGTGCCTATTATATGTGTATCAGCTTTATGAGAATTGCATGCTAGATTAGGACTAAGGATCTAGGAAGGATGCCTTATGTGCCTGTTATATGTATCTCAACTTTATGAACCGCATGCTAGTACAGATTAGTCAGTGATGGCCTGAATGAGATATGCTTGATTATGTTTGCTCGATGCTCGAATGCTGTTTGCTTTGTGCTTTTAGGAGTTCTAGTTATCCTTTACTAACTAGTAAATGAATATGTTAAGTTAGATATTATAAGGATTAAATAATTTTAGAAGGTTAGGTCTAGCTCTATTGCACAGATCTTGTTTGAGTCGAACCATTGTAGGGTAGGATCTCTCATTCGAAGAATTATATAGTCTTAGTGATATGTAATAGTATTCACGAGCTAGTTAGGGGGAGATAGCAGAGACGTCTTATGCAGCTGATGGCGGAGAGTGGATTAGTGAGTACCCTAGGGCAAGCCTAGGATGAGATTAGCATGAGATCAACAGTAGCAGTAGAAGGGACTTGGTGGAGTTGAGGCAGTTCTTGAGGAAAGTACGGATAGATGTGGAAGGTAGTATGGGCCCGTACTACTGAAAACAGAGTATCCGTACTTGAATCAAGGAAGGCTGAGATGAACCCATGAAACTTGTAGTATGTGAGATCCCACGAGATATGATGAGTATACTGATGTTTGTTATGGTGTATTTTCAGTATGGTGATGCTACGCACTAGACCAGTTGGCACTTCATGCATTGGTGAGGGATCAGGCTCGGGCTCTGGAACTGGGCAGCTGGATGAGCAAACGAGGGAGTTCATCTCGTTTGAGATCATACACAACATTTTAGACCAGACTCCTGTGATCTTTGGATCGGTCAAGGAGGGTATTTTGGAGCTTCTGGATGAGAAGCTGAGCGCTTTCCGGACTGAGGTGGCAGCCATGATGGGGTCGTGCACACTGACTTTCAGGGAGTTTAGGGCTTGTGGAGCTCCCGACTATCATGGGGCTCGGGACCCCATTGTTAGCAGCAGATGGGTGGCTGATGTCGCCAACGCGTTCCGTACGACCAGATGTCCTGAGGGGGACAAGGTCTGTCTTGCATCCTGTCTTCTGAAGGACAAGACACGTGACTGGTGGGAGGAGGTCGGACGAGCCATTTGGGATGATACAGTTCTAGATGCTATGACAAGGATTGATTTTTCAGCCAGGTTCAGGGCCGATTTTGCACCCGTGATTGAGGTGCAACAGCTAGCGAGGGAGTTCCAGGATCTTGAGCAAACGACAGAGATTGTGGTGGAGATCACCGCCAAGTTTAGGGAGAGGGCCCTTCTCGTTCCGTAGTATGTGGCGGACGAGGAGATGGAAAACGCCCGATATCATGAGATGTTGCGGAGTGATATCCTCCAGTTTGTGAGCTGCTCCAGCTGCAAAACGCTGGAGGACATGATTTCTAGGGATCGAGAGATGGAGTTGGATTTGGAGATGGAGAGGAAGAGGAAACCAGATGGGGTTCAGACATGCAGTTCGGGCAAGAAGCCCAAGGTATCGGATCACAAATCGAGGAGCCAACAGGGTCGCAGCCGGTGTGACAAGTGCGACAAGATGCACGAGGGGGCGTGCAGGGCGGGGAGTTTGGGCTGCTTCAAGTGCGGCCGAACTGGTCATATGAGCAGGGATTGCACAGATACTACCACCACCACAACAATTTCAGACCTGATTTGCTTTCAGTGCAATCAGAGGGGCCACAATAAGGCCCAATGTCCAATTTTGGCAGCAGCAGGACAGGTGGCGGCACCCGCTCCTGCCATGTTGAGGATTACAGATGGCCGTCAGGGCCGGCTAGAGGCGCCTACAGCGAGGAGCAGGGCTTTCTAGCTTCTGCAGAGGAGGCACGTGCGGCCCCCGATGTTGTGACGGGTATGTAATCTCTCTTTATCTCTTTATTTGTTATGATTATTGCTTATGTTTATGTGTTTGTTATAGGATCGTTCTTAGTGAACGGTATATCAGCCTTGGTACTATTTGATTCGGGTGCAACCCGATCTTTTGTGTCGCTCGCGCTTAGCAAGCGATTCGTAGGAGCCCCGGGGGAGCTAGATTGCCCACTAGATGTG